TTATCTGTTCATGTTTGTGATTTCCAGCTGACATATGTGACCGCAGTGATCAGCTTTGTACGTGAGTTCCTTAAACAGATACCTCTTTATTAATAACAGTAAGAACTAAGAGTTATTTGTTTGGTGGTAGCTAGAATCGCATCAGTATATTAGACATATCAATAAGGATCAAAAATATGTATAAACAATTTTAAACTATACCCTTAGCATAAGAAGTAGTTGTCATAGTCCCATAGCCTAGAGTTCGGGTTCCTGGGGTAATATAATCACTTATACTGAGCCTGGGAGACTGTATGCCAAAATAAAGCTGACTAATGAGTTCAGATATATCATTGGGAAATCATGAAAACGAATTAGTAACCACCATGATAGTCTGACTTTAGCATAGAGGCAGTTAAAAGGAATGAAAACTAAACTTTCTTTACTGAAAACAGACAAATAATACTCTTCATTTTATAGTCACTTTTGAAGTTGTGAACATCAAGGTTTTACTTGTAAGATACTGTATGCAGTAGCCATATCAGTTTCCTGTAGACAGTAAGTTAGCGGCAACATGCGCTGACTAGTGAATAGCGAAAGTCGATGAAGTGATATGTGGCAGTCATGCAGTGGTATTCATCTCTGAATAGATATTGTACAACAGAGGGAGATGGTACAACTAGAAAGAAACAAAAGAATTGTGTATTATTGAACTCATGACTTTGTATAGGTCCTCTTTACAGCTACTCTATAAATATGACTATTTTTGAAGATAAATTTATCTCATAAATTCTGTCTGAAGGCTTCCAGGTGGAAGTTGTTAATACTCTTAGGTTTTTATTGAATTGAAAATCATCACTCACTGGGAAATGCAGGTACATACAGATGAAGAGTCTCAAATAAGACGAAATGCGCATCCTTAAATCCACTGCTGGTCACCATCCACCAATTAAACTCTTAGGTTTTACCTGATATAACTGTTTAATTTAAAGCACAGCAGTACGAATGTAAGATAGTCAGGCAGACTGGTCAGCGTAGAATTTTCTACTAACTAAAGTTATTATTCGAAATTATTATTATTCGAAATAGCATATAGACAAATGAAGGAAAAATAAATGTTAAATAAAGGAGAGTGAGAATTGCATGTTGGTATATATTATTGAGGTGACAGGAGTTATTGGAAAAGACTCACACTAGGCAGTAGTACTTGATTGTTAGATCTAAATGGTGTAAACACTAGCAGGTCATTTCGTTCGTTCGATGACGAGCTCAATTTTAAACAATGAGAGTGGAAAGCAAAAGAAGACTTTCAAAGACATTTAGAATATCGAAGAAGATGGAAGATGAATGAATGTGCTCCAAATTTCAGTGGTTTTAAGCTGTACACTTGCTTTATTTTCTAATTGTTTAGAATTCTTTACATATGCATCATTACTTTCCTTCTATGCTGACTGTAAAATGAAGTGAACTGGTGCAAACCACCATACAGTTTTCGTACACTTTTCATTATATACGCATTATTATTAATTTCTTTAATTCCTAGAGGAACATAGGGCTTCAGCTGCACGTCTCCATTGCGTTCGGTTCTCTGCTAAAGTTTTCACCTAGCTCCAGGTCTGCCTACATGCTTTCATCTCCTCTTCACATGACCTCCTCCAAGTTACCCTTGGACGACCAACTCGTCGCTTACCTTTCGGGTTCCACTCGATGTCACTTGATAGTTTCCTCAGGGTATTGCCAACCCCGCTCCATTTCTTGCTGCTTATTTGTTGCACAATCGGTTCGCTCCCAGAGATCCCCGTTGCTGATCTTTTCTGGCCATCTGATCTTGAGTAGTGAGCGAAGGCAGCTGTTGATAAATTTGATACGCTGTCCACATCTGCCTTTCATCTCTTTGTGTATCTTTCTTCACTTCAACACATGTTTCAGTGGGAAGTCTTTTCCTCAGTTATAACCACACCTAGATTTCAGTTGGTTCAAAATTCTTGTTTTTATAGAAAACATGTGTTTATCTAAATGGCTGAATTATATAGACTTTGACTAACAGGGTAGATGATACAGAATAATTTACTGAATGAGTAAAACAACTCCGACCATATATATATATATATATATATATATATATATATATATATATATATATATATATTGAATTCTGCAGTTTATTCTAGTAACCAGTATATCAGAGTTATTTTATATATTATCCTATAGACGTTCTCTATGAAGACTGTTAAGTATATACACTTCTAACTGATACAATTAGTTTGTGCTGAACTGGATTTATATGATTTGAACTACTTGGTTGTCTGTGCTAAATCAGTCAAATGGCAAGAACGATGAACAGACAAATGATTATTCAATAGTGTTCGATAGTTTGTATGGTACTTTACTGATATGAGAAAATATATCTAAAGCATATTCGATCAGGGAATTCTAAACATTAAAAAATAACATACTATGCCGATGGGATGATGTTTATACTCCAGTGTCTATAAGCATCGGCTAACTTATGTTTAAAAACCCTTTTAACTAAAGTTGTTGTCTGTTTCAGTTCTAGTCACCCTCAGGAATGTTCCCATTTTAAACCTTTATAAATTATTTGGTTGATGGCATCTAACAGTGTGTGTGTTTCGTTCGGTTCGGGACTTGTCAGCTGAATGCAGCTGCATCTCCAGCGAATGATGGTGTTCCCGCTGAAACTCGGAATCACTACCTATCATTTCAGCAGCCGAAGGGTTATCGACAGCGCTGCTCGGCAAACAGAGCCACCTCTTTCACTACGAGTATCAGTGCCTTATTGTTCAAGCTATATTTATTTCCCGTTGATGACTTTTACTGGACAGAAATGAACCGGACGACATCGTCTAAGCGTCCTACTAGGTGCTGACAAATCAACAAAAACCTAGAATTTCTGCCTCATACAAACCAATTAAAGGGAAATACAAAGTAAAGACAAGACAAGTAGTTAAGATAAGAAGCAATAGTCTTTTGTCTTCTTTGGATTGCTGAAGCTCTAGCCGTTCAGTTAGAAAAACCGAAGTTATGCATAAAAAATGAAATTATTCAACCACTTCTACTATCATGGTAACAAACTTATTGATTTTTACTAACTTCTTTTTTATTTGTTACTCTGACTCCTTATAAGTCTTGTATTTCTTTGTGACTCTTACATAAGCCCACATTTTCCTTCGTCTCTATGCTCATCTTGATTACAACTCATTCATTAAATTATTCATCTCATTATGTAACTCTAATACACCTGTTAAACTCCATTTATGCGTTGACTAATACACTATGGTTGTGGCAACTTATCAACACCATCTTTCATGAAAAATTTGTATATAAATAGAAATGTACAGCTAAGGATGAAAATGAATTCGCGGTAAACACCCTCTTCGTTGAACTACTTGTCTTGCGTTTATTAATATTCAGATGGGGATTTTTCATGTATTAGGAATGCAAAATAACTCAAACAAATAACTACCCTGACATGTAGATTGACAACAGAGGTCAAAAGTTATTGTCATTTAGTAACAAAGTAAATTAAAGTATATGAGTAATAACTATGTTTGAAAAAATGAGAGTACTTTTACGTAATCAGAAGGGCTGACAACTAATTAGTTAAGTGATGAGTAATTATTTGGAGGTAGATGATAATGTGCATTTACCAATTCACTTGCTCCTCTGGAGCTAAATACACAGACCGCAGCACCAAGACATTTTCTAGACTCGCCCATGATCTGCATAGTTGTCAAAAGGAGACATAGAACAGTCAACGGTTCAATCCAGGAGCGTACTATTACTTCTGGTCATAAAGCATCAGAAGAGACTTCTTTCAGTCATGTATAAAATACAAACAAGTCTAGATATGATGGAAAAGATATACAGCTCAGGCAGATGATTTTGATGTGGTTGTGATCTCTGAACTGGATAGTTTATTTGTAAAGCTTTCATTGCCCTACTAGGCAACATCTTCAGCGAATACTTTAATTTGAAGTCGGCTTTTAGATTTCTCCACGAGTTTATTAGTCATCTCTCCTGGTAACCCTGAGCGTGATTGGTTACTTCTGTCCGCTTTCACACCTTCTAGGCTAATTGAATTGGTATTGATTGTCTCCTTGACCTGAAGTTTGACTCTTTGTGCATGAGATTTTCCTTTTATGGTTTGGTAAATTTTGTTTATGTCAGTTTGTCTATTGATTGACAATTCACTGGAATACCAGGCTTCTAAAAATTCTCTAGCATTCTTGGTGTTTCCCTTATCTAATATCTGAATGCTGTCCCAGTCGAATTGATGTCCGTGGTTGTCTGTATGCAAACAGAGATATGAGTGAGGGAGTGGATGTTGTGTCTTTTGACAGCTAGTTTATGATCATGGATACGAAGACGAAGGGGACATCCACTTTTGCCAATGTAGAGTTTTTCGCAGTTGTTGCCATCTATACCAAGTTGCTGGAAAGTCTTTCGCCTGCATCTTCTTCATACAGCCGAAGCCTTATCAGTCCATAAGGAGAACTCTGAGCTTTGTGTTCGGAAACTTTTTATCCAGCTTCTTTTACTACCATAACCTTAGTGCTAAGTTTTCCCCCTGAATAATTGTAAAATAAGCTCTGTACTGTATTTTACTATTCCTATGTTTTGCAATCCATTTTCAATCTTTTGTTCTCTTGTGTCTTAACAACTATTTTGAAATGACTATTATTCTCGACCTTTCAAACACAGTTTTTTACGCATATACCTTGACTCACCTTGTTACTGACTGTCAATAACCTTTGATCTGTGTTATCAATCTACATTGTATATATAAATCCACTAAATAATTGTACAGCTGAGAAGTGAAGTTACGAAAATAGATATCTTTGCTGGCTCATGTTCGCTTAATTACATGAAATGGGAATTTTTCATATCTAGGTGTGATTCACAGGTACAAAAGTGAAAACAACTAGAACATTGAACATAATTTAAAGTAGACAAATCACAACAGGTCGTGATAAAATATCTTCAAATTATCCATCACTTACTTCTTCTTGATATCGGTCAATTTTATCAAGACTCTGTTTTAAACCAACATAATAACGTTTCATTTCACGCTTAAAATCAGTTTCAATGCAAGAATTCTTTCCAGTGACATGAGTACTATTCTCACTGCGTTTTATCTTGCTTAAATTATAGTTTAATATTTTACTCCAGTATTTCTTTTCATCATTTGTCTCTGTATAATCTTGTTCATTAAAATTTTCATTTTCCGTGTTTGTTATTTGTTCCACTGAGGGTGTGATTACGTCACTGTTCATATTGCTCGATTTTAAATAAATACCGAGTTAATAATTGAAGTGTTTTTGTATATTTCTCCGATTCATACTCTTATTTATCTGATTTGCGTTTTGCTTTCTTTAAATATCAAAGATCACGTGATTTTGTTTGAACTTATAAATAATTTGAATGTTAGTGTCCTTTTTTTGGCTAGTCACCATCCACCAATTAAGTATTAGTGTCCTTTTATTAACTGTCTCGTTATTAATCCTTAAATTGTCACTGTGGAATTTAAAGTGGAAGTGTTATATCACTTTAACACCTATACTACTCATCAGTAGGTATATTCTTTAATTTGATATAATCTGCCTTTACCGAATTTAAAATTTTAGCAGTTGAATACAACCTAAGAATCTCATCGGGAGTAAAAACTGATTACAGAGAAAGAACTAATTAGAAGTATATAATTTTGTAGACGTACCATTATCCTGTATTAGGCATACTGACCCACAATACTTACAGGCAAAGCCATTATCAAGTGACTTACTGAATTATAGCTAATGGAACTATTACATTGTATAACAACACATTTAGCTGTTCACTAGTTAAATTGATCATTTCGTGAAACTGATTGACTAGGGAACCTGTTAAAGACCTATATGGAGGGAAAACAACCTTACAACTTGAAAGAAGCCTTAACATAATGCAAGGATATATTTTCTGTCTATGATGTAGACATAACACAATTACCAACATAACGCATTATCTTAATTTCTGTTTTGATGTCTGTTGTCCAAAAGAGACAATCTTCTTAAAATTCGACCGTTTCTTTTCTTTTCAATTCAAAAAGCTCCACCGCGAAAAAGAGAGGTTGTTCAAAATGAAAAATAAATCTGGTGTTAAAAGAATGAACACTTTGATTAAACTTGAATTACAAAGAATGAATGCTCTCTATAACCAGAAGTTTCTTTCATGTAAATCCCCATCTAATATGTGGAAGTTATTAAAGGAAATCACAGGTGGTAAGCAAATGATGAATGATATTTCTGTAGATGTTAACATGCTTAATGAATCCTTCATATGTATCCCAGCAAATGTTATGATTCCTAACTCAAATAGTGTAAATAATGACTGCTTCTCATGCTTTAACACGAATGATGTCCTCAAGTGTCTTCAATCTCTCAAACCTACTCAGTCCCTTGGTCCTGATGGTGTTCCTGCTGTTATCCTTAAGAAGTGTGCTGACATCTTGTGTTCCCCATTAACTGACATTTTCAACGAATCGTTTTCCAAAAGTATTATACCTGAATCATGGAAAAATATCAAGATTGTTCCAGTGCCTAAATCAACAAGTGGACCTAATGTTAAGTTTAGACCCATTGCTATTACCTCACCTTTTTTGAAAGTTATGGAAAGACTTATTTTACTTAATCCTGAACCCTCTTTAAAGCCTTTCAACGACCCCAACCAGTTTGCCTATAAACATAGTAGGTGTACGTTAGATGCCGCTGTTGTCCTACATCATAGTATAGTCTCTAGTTTAGATAAAGGAGCTAAATACGTTCGCTGTGCCTTCCTTGATTACACATCTGCATTTGACTCTGTTCCCAGGTCTCTCTTGCTAAGTAAGCTTACTGCAACACAGGCTGAGAGCTGGACAAATAAGTGGTTGCATTCCTATTTTTCTGATAGGAAGCAGTACACCGTCTACAATGGAAAGTCCTCCACTACCTCACTTACTTTAGCTGGTGTTCCTCAAGGTGCTGTTCTTTCTCCCTTTCTGTTTTCGTTTTTCTTACATGACTTGCCTCATTCTGATGTAGCCACTTTTGTTAAGTATGCTGATGACCTCTCTGTTTCTATGCCTGTCAACTCTCAGTCAGATTGTTCCAAATTAAATAACTTTCTGTCGGAAATTAGTCAGTGGTCCTCTTCAAACGGTCTTAAGCTGAATCCGTCTAAATGTCAGGTAGTCAATTTCACTTTCAGACGTAAACGTGACCTACAACAACTAGTTAGCTCACATGGCCCCACTATCATTGACGGCACAGAGGTTGAAAATACATCTAATGTCAAGTACCTTGGGCTGAGTTTTTCCACCGATCTTTCCTGGTCCTCCCACATCTTGCTAGTTACTAGAAAGATGTTTCGCTTAACGTTCTACATTAGGAAATTTAGGCAGTCTGGCATAAAGCAGTCTTTGCTTTCTCAGTTTGTCAATTCTTGTATTCTACCCATCCCCCTTTACTGCTCCCCATTAATCTTTCCTGGACTACTTAAGAAAGACTTTGCTTTGCTGAGAAGGGCACTAAAAGCCGTTAGTAGGGCAAGTGGGATATCGTTAAACCAACTGGTTAACACTATTGTGGATAGACATATTATGTCATGTAAGAAACTAGCGAATACAATATTGTCAGACCCCGAGCATCCTCTCTATACGCAGCTGTCTCCTTGCATTTCATCTGGTAGAACTAGAAGCAGCTATAGGAGGCTATATGCTAGGACTACCAAGTACAAAAACTCCACAATACCATATCTGGCACAGCTGTTATGTGATGAGAAATCCGTTAGGTATGACACGATCAACTTACTGCGGCACTCTAACAAATAGTCCCATTAGTTTTTGTTTCCTTTCCTTGTTACTATTACACTGTTGTTCTCATCTTCTATTACACACCAATTTTATATTTCATATCCTGTGGTGCATTGTTTAAAATGTAAACGCTACACTGTTCTTTTTATTTATCTTCCTTTTTTGGATGTTGCTTTTTGATTTTAAAATCTTATAAAATTTATGAGGTAATTAGATGCAATATATTGTAATGTACGCTGAAAATTCCATACCTGTACCACAAATACTGTTTGGAATAAAGATATTATTATTATTATGTTGTGTAGAAATAACTGAAGGCCATGTTCTGTGTGCTTGCTGGTAGTTTAGCAGTAGAATGGTCACCAGCCAAGCAGGCTGTCTAGATTCCTGACTGTCGTGTGAGTGAATCTAGCCTATTTGGTTTTAAGCCTGAAAATGAGGAAAGGTCGGACGTGAAACTGGAGACTCCACTCCGTAAAAAACAACACTGCTGCAGAAATCTCAAAGCTTGAAGCTATGCGTTCCACTAGGAAGGCGAGGAATAAAACAGAACAGAACATGTGCTCTCTATTACTGCTTAAGAATATTTTTAAGCAGAAACTATGGGTATTTTATTCTCTAACATAAAAGCTTGTTGGTTTACAGTTTGTGGAGATATGACCTTCCGGATGTAAGTGGTTCAAGAATTCACTTCCCAAATTTTTACAGCGTGATATGATAATACAGTCTCTATTTACAGTAATCTCTGAACCTTTACAGGTATTAGTCTATGGGCAGAATGCTTTAATTAACAGTTAACAGGATAACCCGCTGAAGTCGTGATACTTCTTAGTGTTATAAATATCTGCACTCATCAATTCTGGGGATATGCAATATTGAGGACATATGAAATCCTAGTTTTATTAACCTCTAAACTTCCGTCTACCTGAGGTGGAGACTTACTAACACAACTTAATTGACACTGAACGTAGTTAAATGGACGTATTACTATACTCTTTGATTTGAGATGAACTTTTAGGCTCCAAGTGGGCGGCCAAGGATCTACGCCATTTGTTATACTGTCGTGTTACGTTGGGTTGTTTGTGCACGCTCATTAGCCAGCTAAGCAGATATCCCAATATATATTTCATGTTGTGACTTGACTTCCAAATAGCTGTCTGATCTGAGTAGAACAAGTGTATTTGGAGTCGAGGGATATACAATTTAACTATGCATATTAGCGTATCTTGAGTAGCCGTCGACATTCTTCATCTCCTAAACAATAAACTTAAATGACACCATATATCCTATACTGATAGTAACTTTAGGCGACAATGAACTTTGAAATGTACATCAGAGAGGTAAGTAGAGATAAACACTACTTAAGGTGAAGTAATAATTTTTGATATTAAAAATATTTCATTTATACATGCGGTTGAAAGATTTAGAATTTAGGAAAAAGAGAGTAAACCTAGGAAAGAAGATAGTTGTCACTATACTTTGAATGCAGGCATCACTGAGACAAATAATGGAATTACACGAATTCAGAAGTAATTTATCAGTGTGACACAAAAATTAGATCATAAAATAAGGTAATTCAAGTTTAGAACTCTAGAGGTAAACAACTAGTAAACATAGCTAGACTTCTGTTTGATAGTTTCTCGAATTTGGATATGAATCCTCTTTTTTTGTGACGGGTTAACCAGCTCGGAATTATGCAATTTAGTGTCTACCGGCCCAACACTGTAGCCGTCTCTGTGTGTCCGTATGCCAAAATGACCAACAATTTAAAATTTCTCATCTGAGTCATTTGTTACAATTATTCAAATGCATAGTTCTCATTGAGCCTTTCAAATTTGAGTATGATATGAGGATGGCTCTGAAACATGGCCAATACGCGTTGAAGACATGAAAAGGTTGACTGCTTTCGATCATAGATGTCTGCGATCTCTGTCTCACGTTAGGTGGTTTCACAAGATAAGTAATGTTGACGTTAGGCGTAGAGTGTTGGGCAAAGAGGGAAAATCAATCGACGAGGTTATAAAGTTACATAGACTAAGATGGCTAGGTCACGTGCTGCGCATGCCTAACCACCGCCTCCTCCGACGGGCATTGTTAGCTGATATAGGTTCAGGTTGGAAAAGAGCCAGTGGTGGCCAAACAAAAACATGGCCTCATCAATCCATGAAATCCTTGACAGTTAAACTGAGTCAGGTAGGGAGATGCAGACTTATGGTTTGGGGCCCTCGGGACTCTAGGAATCAATGGCTGGAGACAATAGGTGACATGGCTCGAAATCGTTGTCAATGGCGCAGATGTATTCAATCTCTGTAATCTTTCATATTCCTTTCTACCATTACCCATTCTGTTTCACTCCTATATTTGTCAAACTCTATTAATTCTCTCCACTCATCTTCTTGTCTACCTCTGTGTGCTATTTGGAACGTGGCAACTCGAACTGCTGCACTTCGGTGCCAAGTTCTATGTTGAATCCAGACAGACAGACAGACTTTAAAA